ATGGTACATTCACACAATGGAATACTACACAACAATAAAGAACAACGATGAATCCATGAAACATCTTATAATATGGAGGAATCTGGAAGGCATTATGCTGAGTGAATTTAGTCAGTCACAAACGGACAAATATTGTATAAGACCACTATTTTAAGAACTCAAGAAAAGGTTTAAACACAGAAGAAAACATTCTTTGATGGTTATGAGGGTGGGAAGGGAGGGAGAGGGTTATTTGCTAACTAGATAGTAGACAAGAATTATCTTAGGTGAAGAGAAGGACAGCACAGACTGCAAGGGAAGTCAGCACAACTAGACTAAATCAAAGCTAAGAAGTTTCCTGAATACAACCCAACACTTTGAGGGACAGAGTAGCAGGGATAGAGGTCTGGGAACCACTGTTTCAGGGGACATCTAGGTTAACTGGCATAACAAAGTTTATTAAGAAAATGTTCTGCATCCTACTATGGTGAGTGGTGTCTGGGGTCTTAAAAGCTAGCAAGTGGCCGTCTAAGATGTATCAATTGGTCCCAGCCCACCTGGAGTAACGGAGAATGAAGACTACCAAAGACACAAGGTAAGTATTAGCCCAAGAGATAGAAAGGGCCACATAAAGCAGAGACCCATCAGCCTGAGACCAGAAGAACTAGATGGTGCCCGGCTACCACCAACGACTGCCCTGACAAGGAACACAACAGAGAGTCCCTGATGGAGCAGGAGAAAAGTGGGGTGCAGAAATCAAATCCTAGTAAAAAGACCAGACTTAATGGTATGACTGAGACTGGAGGAATCCCAGAAAGCCTGGCACCCAGACTCTTTATCAGCCCAGAACTAAAACCATTCCCGAGGCCAACTCTTCAGACAAAGATTAGACTGGACTATGGGACATAAAATAATACTCATGAAGAGTGTGCTTTTTAGCTCAAGTAGATAAATAAGACTAAATGGTCAGCTTCTGTCCGGAGGTGAGACGAGAAGGCAGAGAGGGTCAGGAGCTGGTTGAATGGACACAGGAACTCTGGGGTGGAAAGGAGGAGTGTGCTGTGACAGTACAGGCAGAGCAACTAGGGTCATATAACAATGTATGTATAAATTTTTATATGAGAGACTAACTTGAATTGTAAACTTTCACTTAAAGTACAACAATAAAATAAAATAAAAAGTATGAATGACATATAGTTATACCTAATTCAGGTATAGTAAGACGAGGTATGTGTAAGTATGTTTGTTTTGGCTATGTTTATAGGCTTGCATTTATTTTTTTAAATCAAGTTATAAAAAGAAGCTCCGTTAAAAACCCAGTAATGCGGTGACATTGATAAACAACATTTGCTCATCCCATTAGGAAATTACGAAAATGGCTATAAATGCAGGAAAGTCAGGAAATCAATTTTTTGTTGTTAATGGCAGAACACGGGGCTATGCTTTTGCTTCATTAGCGTCTATTATTTACTTTTCAGTAATGGACTAGTTGCTTTCAAAGATCGAGTACAGGTCAGACCAGGTCAGACCATGCTCTGTGCTGGATCAAAAAAGCAAGGTAATAATGCTAACATGGCAGATTTCCTATGTGCAGATAATTGCATATTTCTAATAAAAATAATACACAGATTTCTTTTAGCCATTATACCAATGCTGTACTTCGTTTTACTCTGTTGCCAAGTGCCAAAAAGACAAATAATATGCTGTCGTGAGTGCTCACAGCCAGGGGTGGATTATCCAGGTGTTTCTCTCAAGATATGCTATAACCTAAAAGCAACCAAATACTGTGTATATTACTTTGGTGGTTATTAAAAAGGTTATGAGCAAAGGTGCACCACCTTATATACAAAGTCAAAGTGAATTTTATATAACTTTCATGCACTACCTGAGTGAGGTAACATATAATAAAACGGTAAAACAATATTCCAAACCCATAGCTGTGACCCAGAAACGTAACAAAAGGCAGAAGGGTAGATTATGATGTTTCCTGTCGTGGTTGTTTCCACCAGAAATCTGATGGGGGAATACCTAAGACATTTCCATAGCTAGCTGTGTTATTCCAAGTGCATTTCTAGGCATGCCATTAAAAGATGCACAATGTCTCTAAAGAAAATGGGAGTTGGCAGCAAATACATACTCCAAATGGGACATGGCTTGTCACAAAGGAATTTGGTTGTTTACAGAACACTGACTGAAGAAAGTAAAGTTTAGGATACAACTGAGCAAAGCAAAAGGTGGCTCTGCCAATGGTAAAACTGGAGTTGAAATCTGTGAGATGACCTATGGTTCTAGATTTTTTTTTTTAAGTAGGTTTAATTTCTAAAGAATCCTTCATGAAATGCATGTATGCTTTTATGTTTGTAGTATGTATTTAGAATGCATGCATCTATCCATCTATTATCTATCTATACTTTTACTTATAGTTTTTAAAGAGTGTCATATAGCTTAGACAACAAAGAGGAAAACAACTCTCCACCTATCCTTCTTCCTTCCTGAAGCCAAGATGGTTAGAGCTTCTACCCTGTAAGTTATCTCACATTTCAAAGATGTAAAATCATATTATAATGAGACATTTCATTATTTTAAAAGGTTAGGTATACAAACTATATTCTGGAAATGCACTCAAACAGAAAATCCAGAAACCAAGTATACTCAAAATAAAGCCAAAAAATATTAAAATTGAGTATACTGTGTTTGGTGAGTATAAGAGACTGACTCTAAACTCTGATGATAGATGTATCACATGGAGCCTCCTGCACCCACTGCAGATCTACTAAGACAGAGGACCCATGCAGGGTCTGGACATTTCAATATGCATAAAACTCATGAATGATTCTGCTGCACAGGCAGTGAAGAATCCCTTGTATAAATTATCTTTTTTTGTTGTAGTTTCTTTTTAAAGGATATGATATTCTCCAACACCAACAACATTTTCACATTATAAAAAAAAATTTCTAATGCAAGAACCAAAAAATTAAATTATTTATTTAGATTTTTTGAATGAAAAAAATTTGACTCAGGAGATGTGAAATTTGCCCAAACTAAAATCTTTTATAGAACAACAAGAAGTCAAGCAAAAAGAGTTTAAAAGCAAACAAAGAAAGCAGGATGGGAGTGTCTGGTGTTCAGTGTTCAGGTAACTAGATGAGGGCATCAGAATATTCATTTCATGGTCATAACAATATTGCTGAGTCATCAATTAAAGTTTTTTCTTCTTCAGTCTATTATACAGCTACATATCAGTTATCTGGAAACATTATTTATAAAGAAACTCTCATTTTCTACTAATAATATTAATAGCAACTAAAATTTATTAAACAGGCAGTTCCCAAGTCATGACATCTGACTTTCAGAGAAGTCAACTTGCACTTGCCCTTTACTGTTATGTAAATTTGCCTTCACTTTGAAATGACTGAACCAACCCCTACTCACCGCAAATTCTTCATCACAATCACCTTCACTTGCTGCATGTGCAGCTCTTAAATCACTGAAAAGGCTTCAAGCCTTTTCTTGCACTAAAGTAAGGCTACATAAGAACCACACCTGTTATCGACTTACAAATTCGACTTAAAGGCACATTCAGGAGTGGATCTCGTTCGTAACCCAGGGACTGCCCATATTAAAAAATCCTCTCAACAGGGTGAGGCAAGCACTATATTATCACCATTTCATAGAAGGAATCTGAGACACAGAATGACCGATATCAACTAGCCTCAGGAGGCATTATTTGGCCTATGATGCAAGACTGGCCAATAAAAGCCCAGAACCCTAAGGCTCACAGAGCTTCCTGGTTGGGAGCTTCCCAGTTGAGGAGAAAATTTACTCTAGGGAGGGTATTGTATCCCTTGGGACATGGAAGCTCCACCTTGGGAACTCTCTTAAACTTCACCCTATGTGTCTCTCCATTTGTATGTTTTCTGGCTATAATAAACCTGTAGTCCTAAGTATTGTATACTCTCCGTGAATTCTGTGAGTTGTTTCAGAGAATAATCGAACCCAAAGGGGCAGTAGGAGTCAGTTGGCCAGAAAAGTAAGGGTGTTGTGTGGACTCCCTAGCTTGTGGATGACATAGTGAAGGGGCAGCACAAAATTTGTGGCCAGCAGGTCAGAACGTTGGGGTGTTGTGTGACTCCCCAAACCTGTGGCTGGTGTCTGCCTATGGCAGTCTCAAGGACAGTGTCCTTTTAACTTGTAAGCTCTGACTTAGCTCTGGGTGGCTAGGGTCAGACAGAGACAGTGTCATGAGGGCAGCTGGTGACGAGGATGGAGAAATGGAAATGTGAGGACTGGATTTATGCTGATCCTTACTGCGCAGCTGCTAAAGGCTACAACAGAGTTCAGTTCCCACAGGACAGTCAGTTTCTTTCTTTTCCAAGATCCACTACTTCACTCTGAATCCCTGCCAAACATTTTGGGCAAACATGCTATTTGTTGTAAGAGCTGCTTGGATCCCGTGAGAAGGTAGTAGCATAAACGCATATCCACTGTAAAGGATATTCTAAGTCTGTGTTCTCAAAGTACTTCCCATGATTAGTAGTATTAGCATCACCTGGACACTTGTTAAAAATGCAAACTCTCCCACTTTAGACCTACTTAATCAGAAACACAGCACTCTGTGCTCAAACAAACCATACAGGTGCTTTTGGTGCATGTAAAGTTTGAGAACCTCTACTCTAAGTTAAAAACAAAGATATTCTTAATTACAGAAAAGCTTGAAAAAATGACTCCTTACCACATGCCCACATATCCACCGGCTTTCCATAAGGATCTTTACGTAAAACTTCTGGAGAAAGGTATCCAGGTGTGCCAGCAAAACCTAGGGAAAACAGATGTTAATGAGTTAGACCAGACTTGATATAAAGTGTGAAATTAAGGAAGAAAACCTTGTTTGGTCTTCTTTATCTGATGATGTGTTTGTCAAAATAAAACAAGGATCTCAGAGTACTAAAATAATGTAGAACAGTCTCTCTGTCTCTCTAGCAATATCGACACCAGTCCATCCTTCCTTCTAGCTTATTAGAAAAAAAAAACATGTTTTTTTTTTCCCAGATATGAAGGCCAATCTCTCCTGCTGCATAGTTAACGTGTATACTAAGCCCATTTGGCTAGCAGTTCTTATTTACTTAGGAGTTAAAACTAAACCTGAAAAGAAATAAGAAAATTAAGGCTAGGGTTAGAACCTTACAGAAGATGATAGTTATCATGATACCCAAAGAACTTTATTATGAAAGGTATTTACCTATAAATGAAAGGTTCAAAAACATACACTGTGAGGACAAATTTAAAGAGAATTTTCTGTAAATATTTTTGAAACTGAAGTAGGGTAGTCCATTTTAAAGAGTGGGAGAGGGAACGGAGATTGAGAGTAACAGAAGAAATTACCAGGAGAATAAATAAACCCAAAATACATCAAAGAGCTCACTGTGTACTAATAAATAATCAGTGTGTACTTATAATTGGCAACTAAAGAGAAGACTCAGGACTATTCAGATGAATCACTTTTGAACAAGTATCAACTAGACTTTCACCCTTAAGAAAGAGATGTGGTAAGAGAAACTAGATGGCAAAAGAAATCTTCATTTTATATAAATCAATGAAGAATTACAATAAGGTACAGTTAGGTAATGATTGATAGTAAATACACAGTAAAATATTTCTTCTTATTTCTGAAAATAATATTTTTCAAGTAAAAAAAGTTTATTAATAGAAATACCAAAAATATTCTCATTTAGAAGATTTTTTTTAAGGCATCCACATACAAAAACAGGGAAAATTTTTTTAAAAGAAAATGTAATCAGGAATTCCTAAGACCACAAATCAGTGATGAAGCACATCCTTTATTTACTGGAATGCAAAGTGCCCAAGAAAGGAACTTCTTCCCCATCTCCATCACAAATTTATACTTAAGTACAAATAGCGTGTAAAGAGGTACAAAAACAAGCATATATACAATGGCATGGTTTCTCCAAATGAAATTACATTAGAAAATGAGGCAAAGGATTTATTTTATCTTCCTTCCCCCATTTTTGTCAGCTTTCCTTTTGTTTTGTTTGTTTTGGAAGAAGACAGGGTGGACAATAAGAAGGGGCTTTAAGAAAAGACCTGTAAATTACAGCTTAAACTTTTCATGGACACAGGTGATCCACTTCTACCTCCACTTTACTTAATAAAACCTTTGCTTGGTGGTTGTGAGGTAAAAAGAATCACTGAGCAATATTAGTGGTTCCACTGCCTCAAGTCTGAGGATTACCTCAAGAAGGGATGTGGAGTAGGTTAATTCCAAAGTAGGGCCAGGGGCACAGTAATTTTAAAGAGCTTCTCGGTGTTTCTGGTATGCCATACCCATCCTCTCACTCATCCCAGCCACCCCTCTCCAATTCCTCCCAAGTAGAGACACAGAGAATCCAATGAGAAACCAATGCCAAAGTCCAGATTAAATCCAACATTCTTAGACTTCAAGATCCTTTTAGCAACTGGTTCCCTTCATTCATCTAACATTAATGCCTCCACTTCTGAACTTAACATGATTAATGTCTTTAAGGGTCCTTGAAAATGGAATTCTTGTTCTTTGCCTTGATGCTACTTTTTCTGTTCTATGAACCGTCAATTTTTTCTCTACCTTTTCTCTACCACAGTGACCCAGTGTGACAGAGTAGAAGAATTGCCCCATAGGGTTTGCTAGGCTGTAATCTTTACAGGAACAGATCGCCAGGTCTTTTCTCCTGAGGAGCCACTGGATGGGTTCGAACCATCAACCTTTCAGTTAGCAGCCGAGCGCTTAACCGTTGTGCCATCAGGACTCAATCGCTATGAATCAGAATCAACTAGAAGGCACCTAACAATCTTTTCTCTAACAGAGGTGGCTCTAAATTATTTCCGTCTTAGAGATCTCCTTAGCTGTCTATCATTTTCAGTAGTCCTTTCTCACTCTGAATTCTGAACATCCTTTTATATACAATCTGCATCATCTCTAGAATTAGTAAACATAATGTATGTCTTAAATAACTTAGTAGAATACTTGGCGTAGAGCAGGAGATGTTAACTATATTTCCCGTAGGTAAAAAAGACAAGGAACGAAGTAACTATGGGAGTGAGAAATGAAAAGATCATTTTAAATGTAAATTATTACAAATCTCTTCTGGAGACCAAAATGGGGGCCCTAGAGAAAAAAGATAGATGAGGAGTAAAATTCCCACTTCTCCAGCACCGGGCTATCTACAGTTAAGTGGTTGTTAAGGTACCTGTCAGAGCAATGACTTTGAAGACATGCATTCTAAGAGAACACTATCATACCTACTCTTATTTAGTATAAGCATTAGTTGAGCAGTCAATGGGGTATTATCCCGAAGAATATTAAAACATACATCTAAATGCATGAACGTCAGAACTGTGCAATGCATCCTCATGAATACAGAAATATAAGAGGTACAATAAATAAGGCCTTTATTGAGGGAAACTGGAAACCCTGGTGGCATAGTGGTTAAGAGCTACGGCTGCTAACCAAAGGGTTGGCAGTTTGAATCCACCAGGCCCTCCTTGGAAACCGTATCAGGCAGTTCTACTCTGTCCTGTTGGGTTGCTATGAGTCGGAATTGACTTGACAGCAATAGGTTTGGGTTTTTTTTTTTTAGAGGGAAATTAAACTAGTAAGAATCTAGGTATATGATGATATATGCCATCAACGGGAAATTAAAGGGAGCTTGCCTTCTTTAAAGATAGCACATATTTCTTGTCCTGAAAAACCAATAAGAATATCAGAACAGATTAAAAAAATAATTATTTACTGTTGGAAATGAATCCGTTAATCAGTGTTATACCATGACCTAGTTGTAATTTAAAAATATTAATATTTTAAAAAGAGATATAACACAGCTACCAAGCAGTTGAAGCAATTCTTCCATTAACTAAGATGAGGGTAGTTATCCTTTTCTCTAGCAGCAACAAAAAGGTAGAAATGTATGGCAAATAGGATTTCCAGTCCCACAGGTGAAACAGGTTATGGCCAGATATTTCTCTTGATTAATTTTTCCAGCCATCTGAGCAAGTATAATGACACAGTGTACAGCTTCTAGCATTTTTGGTTAGTATTCAATAGATCAGGACTAGGAAGAGAGAAGCGAACTTGGAAAAACAAACAAGCATACTCCAGACATAAACATGAGAATTAAAAAGGCGTCTAAAAATGCCTTGCATGTTTTTATTTTTATTTGTAATAGACATATTGCATATATAAAATTATGCAAAAAAACTGAAGTTCTGGTATTATCTCTTTGCTTATTAAAGTAACTAAGCTCTCTCCCTCTTCCCATTGCCGTCAGTCGATTCTGACTCATAGTGACCCTACAGGACAGAGTAGAACTGCCCTGTAGGGTTTCCAAGGAGCTGCTGGTGGATTTGAACTGGTGACCTTTCAGTTAGCAGCCAAACGCTTAAACACTGCACCACAATGGCTCCCCCCTCAGCCATTAATATTAAATTTAAAAAGATAAAATTAACCAGTCAAATTTATGAGACTATGACGACAGATAATAAATAAATATTAAACAAGTCATTCACATTAAACCATGCCCTTACTCTTAATACCAAAAATACATCTGGCAGTACACCCCAAAGGGTGTCTCCTCTTTCCTCGGTTAGCTTACCATGAGAATCTCAGCTTGAGTAGAATAAGCTAAAAAAAAAAAAAGCTTGTGTATGTCTCTTAAGCTTACAAACTATGGTTTTCTACACTTCCGAAATACTGAATTTTCTTACAACTTAGAATGTATGTCTGAAAAGTCATTGCTCTAACAAGTATCTTAAAAAACCAAAAAACCCACTGCCATCAAGTCGATTCTGACTCATAATGCCCCTATAGGACAGAGTAGAACCGCCCCGTAGGGTTTCTAGGCTGTAAATCTTTATGGAAGCAGTCTGCCACATCTTTCCCCCATGGAGAGGCTGGTGGGTTCGAACCATCGACCTTTCCACTAGCAGCCAAGCACCTTAACCACTGCATCACCAGGGCTCCTAACACACCTTAACATCGACTTAACTGCTGAAAGCCCCATGCTGAAGAAGTGGGGGTTTTACTCCTGATCTATATTGTTTCTCTGAGGCCAGATTGCATTTAGAAATGAAATTATAATTTGAAAATTAGTGCACCTCTCTTAAGATACTATTGCTTTCACTAACTTGATAGTTTCTTACTCACTCATTCACTTAACAACTTTCACTGAATATTCAAGAAACTACGACATTGTGTTTAATGCCAATATGATTTTTTACAAATTAGTGAACACCCTTCATAGCCCAGGAATTTTCCTTAAGGACTACATCACTTAGTCTCATACCAGTCCTGTAAATAATATTTATTATCTCTAATTTGTAAAGAGGATGTTGACCTCATGGAGTTGGAGTGAAGCTGATCTGCTCAATACCATACAGCTATTGATAATTAGAGCCAGGATATAAACTCATGCATTCTGATTCAAAAAACGGTATCTTTTCCATTATACAGTCAAGCCCTCAAACAGCTTGTGTCCTAGCAAAGGAGATAAAACAGAGATCGATAATTTTAATACAATGCACATGTGATCAGAATAGGGGCCTGGCTGAACTGGGTAGATTTCAGCCTGTATACTCTTTTCCACATCTAGGGTCACTTTCATGTTCAACGCTGGTTTAATTTTCAGGATCAGTTCTTAAAAGTCTTCAGGGGAGAATAAGGAGCTCAATCCCAACACTCTTGTAATCATCAAGCCAAGTTGCTGATGTTAATTTTGAGCAAGGGTGGTTTATCCAATAGGCAAGGTAAACATGGGCTTACTTGTGCTT